AAAAATAAGCCCTCCCCCAAAAAAATAAGCCCTCCCTGAAAATATTGCAACACAGCAACAGCAATGAGGTGACCATGCTCACCACCTCCTGCACCTCAAAAATAATAAGAACTCCCTGAAAATAAGGCCAAGTGCTTATTTCGGGGGTCAAAAGAAAACAAGACTCTGTCTTATTTTGGGGGAAATGGTAAGAACAAGAAAAAATTAGGAGTGTGACATCAAGATCCATGCTGAACCCAGATGAAACTAATGGAGTAGGTTACTAGTCAGTGAGATATCACATTCCTCTTAGAATGTGCTAGACTAGAGTAAGCATTAATTTGTATGTTAATGGCTACCTATCTTCTTGAAAAAGTAGGTTTTCAATCCCTTTTACACTGAGCTTGCTTCTTGAGAAGATGCTAAAAAGTTGCAATTCCTCTGCATTTACTAAAAAGTTTGCAGTTTCCTCACTTTCTAGCTGAAGCTGGTATTTTATCATTTTCTTATAGGGCTTGTCAGGAGAGAGACTATCTGTCCTTTCAAATAGGCTGCAGAATATTTGAGACTTGATTATGTGACATTTTTATAGTGCAATCTGAAAAAAAACACAAAAGCTTTTAAAAGTTTTAAAACTGAAGACTTCAAACTATGCCACACCACCAAAAGAGAGCAAAAACCAAGCTTCCCTTATGCCAAACTTTTAGAAACTATATGCCCATGCTTACTTTATCTTTTATAAACTGACATATGAATGGGGGGGGGCGGTGTTGATGCAAATGCAGCCCTGCCTACCTGCCAAGATTCTCAGATCATTTAAATTGGAAAAGTATGGGAAACAGTTCAACAAACTAGGATATTAAGCAATTGTTTTAATTGGGTTTAACTCACACTACAATGAACCTTAGTTCTACACATCATAAGCAATGATTCTTGGAGATGTACATGCATGAAAATTTTGTATCTTTTTTTTCTACGAGGAAAATTACTTTAAATTAGGGAAGGCCAGCTTTCCCTAATCTGACAGTGTCCAGATCTGTTGAGAGTGCAATTCCAACAATATTATCTGGAAACTCTGGAAACTGCAATTCCAACACATCAAAAGGATGCCAGGTTGGAAAATGCTAAAGTAGTTAATTTAATTTGTTTCACTTCTTTAAAAATTACTCTAAATCTTGTGTCTAAATTGACTTCAACAAACATTACCTAATTATTCACTTGCATTTGTAGTATGGATATAGAAATGATTCAGGAGACTTTAGTTTAATTTTCTTTTGAACTGCAAGAGTCACTTGCCTTACCCTCTTTTCAGAGTGATTGAGAGGATTAAAATAGGTATGGCAGAAGACATCTAGCTAAAGTTTCAAAACAAATAAATTGATCTTGTGATCTAAAAAAAGTACAAACAGCGTAGGGAGAGAATAAGATGGTAACTTGATATGAGACAACCAAAGTCAGGCTCAAGGTTTCCAGAAACCTTGACACAACATATGATCCTTCAGACTATATGAAGAAAGAGGGAAGAAAAGAACAGAATTTGTTTGAAAACTTCCTTATGGTCATGATATCTTAGTAACCATGTTGATTTTTATAATTCTACTCAGCTTGCCTTATGATTTGTAAAAAGATCTGAAAATGATGCAGGGGGGAAGGTAAAAATTGTTAAGTCCTATTACTAAATATGAATTTTGCTGGGCATTTTTGGGAAACTATTCTATTTGCATTTTTCAGGATAAAAAGTTAAAAGTTATTGTAATCTCTAAAAACAAATTGGTCAAGTACTCAAAATATTCAGCTTGCTACAATATCTTGGATCTGCAGGACTTCCAGACAAAGATTATATTGTATAATTGATCTTCCTCATATTTGGCATTTAAAGTCAAACCTTATGTTCACTCTTCTCTTTGTCCATCTTCTTTCTTTCTCTCTCTTTCTTTCCTTCTTTCTTTCTTTCTTTCTTTCTTTCCTTCTTTCTTTCTTTCTGCCATGGCAGAAAAACTAAATGCAACTGCATTTAGCACTAGCTAAAGCTTCCAGAATTCTTCAAAAGCGGCTCCATGTAAGGCCATGTTATAACCCACTCTAGAGGTAAACAGGGCATGTAGGTTGGAAAATGCACAACTGATGTACAACTCAAAGTTATGCAAAGGTCCTCCTATCCATGTCTGTCACCTGCTCCTCAAGTAGGAATCATCAATTTAGAAGGACACTCCGATTATACACAGAGTTTGTCTGTGCCAGATCATGAAGATCTGATCCAGAAGGCCCCAAAACCAGCACCACTCAGTCCTGTTAGGGTTCAGCTGAAACATGTTGTTTCCCTATCGATATGTTACTATAGCCATTTGTTGTTATTCTCTCAGTTACTTAAAATATGTTATTAAAGACTAAAGAATACTCTTTGTTGCTTATTGGTTGTTGGAATTTAGTGAGTATTGTATATCACTTTGAAATTATTTTGAAATTCTTGTTTGGGGGAGGGAGAGACCATTTCACTACTGTACATTAATTTGGGACTGAATTCCCCCCAAACAAAATAGCTCAAGAGGTTTCCTGGAAAGACATTACAAACTCAGCTTACATAATAAATAATAAATGAAATGATCGGAGTTTTTTGTATTTTTGTTCCCCTCCTTCAATTTCCATATGGGAATTTGTTTCTCTAGATTGAAGAGAAGCTCTCTGAATTATTGGAGTTAATGCAAAAAGTGAGGGAAATCTGGGATCTGAAGAAGGATTTGTATGAGGAAAACTGGGAGATCCAGCTATTAAAAAGGGAGCTGGACTTTGCTGAAACCTGGTTGACAGCAAAGGAGAATTTTCTTTCAGATTCAAATTATGGGGTAAGTAAACATAGCATAGTGAAAAATGCCAAATTCAAACCTATCCCAAAACAACTGTATCTCTTCTGTAACTTTTTAATTACCTACTTTTATTTTTTTACTTTTCCCCAGAACACTGGGAAATTTCTTTTGAATTTCTCTTATTGCACAAAATAAGGAAGGATATTAAACATTTTTCTATCACTCTATTTTTCCCAGCTGCCATTTTGCCAATGGGTAGAGAAGTTTGTGTCTGATTTATAGCTTGCCTTTTGCTTCAGGAACTCACATAAGCCGCCGTCATTTTGCCCTCAACCACTCTGTAAGATTAGTGCTGAGGCAGAATGAACAGCTCAAATTCAGCCAATGAGTCTTCTAAAAACAAACCCATGAGACTCAGAGTTATGGCTTAATTGTATAATACTGAAAGAATTCCATCCCCAGCCACAGTGACAGCAAAGCCTGAGGAATGTTGCCATCAGGAGAGAGAGGGAAAACTCCCACTGATACCAATGCCAGCTGGGTGGGAATTTCTAGTAAAATTGCTGCAATCACTGTATGCAGCTGAGCCAATAACTATTGCCGCCCCGCCCTTCCCCTAAACAAAATTCCTTCAAAATTGAATGCTATTGTCATATAAAGACAAGTAAAGACACAAATCTTGTTGCCTTCCAACATTCATATTCCAAATATAACCTTGTTAATGAAGAAATGGAAAGAGCCATCTGTGCTTCATTAGCTGGAAAGCTTCATAGCCATTCCTCACAAGCAACTTAGATGTTTCTCTCTCCCTATTCTGCTCTTTCCACTCCCCCCTCCCCAAATGGCCTTTCTATATTGAATAATTGCATTTATTGACTTCTTTCCATAGAATTCTGTCTCTGATGTTAAACATCTGTTGAAGAAGCATCAAGACTTTGAAAAAATGCTAGAAGCCCAAGAAGAGAAGTTTTCACAGTTGAATAGAAAGACAAAGGTACTGGGTTAAACCTAGTAATGGGATTCCACATTTTTTACTACCAGTTCTGTGGATGTGGCTTGGTGGGCATGACATGGCTTGGTGGGTATGGCAGGGTATACTGTAAAATCTCCATTCCCTCCCCACTCCAGGGGAAGGTTATTCAGGTGGGACTCGGGAGGCAGAGGATAGATGGGGACGGGGCCAGTTAGAGGTGGTATTTACTGGTTCTCCGAACTACTCAAAATTTCCACTACTGATTCTCCAGAACTGGTCAGAACCTGGTGAATACCAAGTTAAGAACCTTGGTTAAACCCAAGGAAGATATGTGGGGGACAGGCTATATATAAATACCTTTCATAATCTTTCCAAAATCCATGTGGTTTTATACTTAAGTGTAATAATAAGGTGACAATTCACTCAAACTTGGTTTTTATATTATGCTTGATCTTCTTATGGCTATGTATGGATTACTTTGTGCAACAATAGCCCAATGGTTTTAAGAAACAAAAGGCAGCCTTTTAACGACAGAGATTTAAAATACAGGAATGATGGGGGAGCGTCTTTAGTTGGTTTTCCCCCCTCAGTGGTCTTGCACATGTGCCCTCTGTTCTTCCTTTATAGAGCAGTATGAAAATTACAGAGCATTACATCATCCACACTTTTCATTTCCAATGGGTATCTATAAGGAAGTGTCTCTGTAAGTAGACTGTCAGGTTCTGCAGACTTTTCTTTACAGGTTATGGCTGTCATGTGGCTGTGACAGCCAGAGCCAGAAGTGCTACTTAATGGATATATGAAGAGATCTATTGTTCCATAGATGTGATCTTGCGGGGGCGGAGAGAGAACCAGTTTAAGACAATGGCAGTTAAGGAATGGATTGACCTCATCCTGCCCTGATATTTTCTTCCCTTAAATCCCATCTTTCAACATTCTTACTGGTTTTTGCTCCTTCTGTGAAATAGCTATCATGGAAGGTCACCTATAAAAACATCAAATTTCTTTGCCAATTTTCCAAAAGTTTCCTTCTTCTGGGAAAAGATTAATGTTTTTTTTTACATCATTCTGAAAATGTTTTAAATTTCTTTGGGTTTCTTTTTAAACTGTGTTATTTTTGCAAAATAGTAGAGTAGTGTGGCTAATCTTATTCTCTCTGTAGCCTCCATGACTTCTACTTCTCAATATTTGGCCAGCATTGTACAATCTGTTAGAAATGAGTATTTGACCAAAGAAGCAAATAAGACTGTTTTTCTGCCTACATTGTTTTATATATAATTGAAATCAGAAAAAAAAATATTTAAGTAAGTTGAATGCAATGGCAAAGTATTACTTAAGAGCTGTGAGTAGGGAAAGAAGACATAAGATCAAGAATCAATGGATAAAAAGTGAGCATAGATTAAATACAAGGGAGAGTGATGAGCATAAAATCACATTGCTAATACATAAAGAATGAATGAAGATCAAATTGCAAAGTAAATATTTGAGGAAAGAGCAAGAGGAAGGAGAAGATGAGAATGTCATGTCTGGAAAGAATTGATGAGATTTTCAGTTAGAGACAAATGAGTAATTTAAAAATAAAAGACAATACATGATTCATTACTTTGTTGTAGTGGAAATAAGGATGGTTTGCAAGGACTCAAAGGTATTAAATGGGTTTGCTATAAACAGTTTAATTAAAATTCCTTTTCTCTTATTTCACACCTTTTGTTTCTTTTATCCACTATTCTTCACTCTTAGTTTCATTTTGCATAAGCCATTCTGAAAGTGTCAGTGAAAATTGCCAGTGACTATTGGTGTACATTACAACCAAAAAATAGCAATACAGACAAAATAGTAATGGTAGTGTAGTAGTAGTAGTAGTAGTAGTAGTAGTAGTAGTAGTAGTAGTAGTAGTAGTAGTANCAATTTCATTCTACACATGTTGTGCATTGACAATAAAGTTTTGATTTGATTGTTGTATATTATATACAGTGTATATATATTTTCACCTTTCAGACCACTACTAATATGTACAAAGACAAATATATAATAAATATATATATTTTTAGTTTGAGTTAGACATGAGCTGTATATGAACTGTGAACAGGGATAATGATATAAATGAGTAATGCCTATTTTCTAAACTCTCTTCTCTGTCTGTGTCTCTCTATCTCTCTTCATAGTTCAACTATCCTGCCTAAACTCCAGTCTGTTTTAGAACAATACCTGTCTCTCCAGGATAGAGCAGAGAAACAAATAAAAGCTTTGCAGGAACAAGCACAACTTCATCAATTTGAGAAGGAAACCCAACTGGTGGATGCTTGGCTGTTGAGCAAACAGAATATGGCTGAATCAGATAATTATGGTCAGGATTTAGAGACCGTGGAGGTAAAGCAGATGTTGTCATTGGAATACCTCAGCTGTACTTTTAGATTCTATAGTTCCTGATGTTCCTTGATTATTAAAAGTTACATGAGATTGATTACAGATAGCAGTGGTTCACATATGCTTGTTATTAGTTGTTAAGAATTAAAAAAAATGCTAAGTGACTTTCCAAGCCCTGTTCACCACTTTTTTATATTATTTCAAAACTAATACCAAGAAATAGGAGGAAGATTTTGAATAACTCTCTGCTACTTCTTTGTTGATGCTATAGGTTCTAGAGAAAAAATTTGAAGATTTTACGAAAGAGATAGAAACTCTAGGCTATACCAAAGTTCTGCTGATAAACAATCTAGCATCTCATCTTAGAAGTGTGTGTCACAATCAAATAAGCCACATCCAGAAAAAGACAGAGGATATCCATGTCAGATGGGACAAACTGCAGCAAGCTGTCCAAACAAGAGCAGAGGTGAGCTTCCTGGTATCCAGATGTGCTCCTCAGGACATGAATAAGCAATGTATAGGTCATGTGTCACCTACCATCCCAGTCCTCTATTGTAGTTCTTAAAAAATTAGATCACCCAAGACTGACAATGATTCTGAGCTTCCCTATTATTCAGTTATATTAAGTAAATAATAAAGTTTGTAATAGGCTGTATATATCTTTTTTTATCTTTGTACCTTTCAACCTCTGAATATGAAAAAGTTTAGCCCTGACTCTCCAGTTAACAGATTATTGCTCTGCCCTTTCAAAGAACAAACTTGTTAAAATGTAGCTTTGGATGCCCACAAAATGGCCCACTTATGGCAGTGTTGTCATGATTGAAAATTGTTGATTATATGTTTTGAGTTACTATATATCAGGGGTGTCAAACTCAAGGCACAGAGACTGGATCCGGCCTGCGGGCCGTCCTGGAAATGGCAAAGAACCAGCCCGTGGTGCCTCTGCCAGTGAAAATGGACCTTGCAAGGGCTTTATGCAGACCTCCCAAGCTCCATTTTCACTGGTAAAAGGATGCAGGATGCTGTCGCAGCCAAAAATGGAGCTCAGGAACCCATTTTCACTGGCAGAGTGCTTGGGCCATACAGGCAACCCCAACACGAATGGCCATGCCCACCTTGACCATGCCCCCCCCCCCCCCCGAGGTCAAACACAACCCTGATGTGGCCCTCAGTGAAATTGAGTTTGACACCCCTGCTTATATAATCAAAAATTATGGACAAGCTGATCCACGTGAATTGAACCCCTGAATACAGGATAACAAGATGAAAAGTATGGTGTGGTTTTACTGTTCTTGATCATATAAATCTATTACAAGTGCCACTGATAAAGTACCATTAGAATAAGATTTGTTGACTGGTAGTGACTGTGTCAAACAACCCCAGCATTTTCCTTAAAAAATGGAGCAGATGTAACTGAAACTTATCAGATATTTACAACATAATTTATAATACACTAAAGCATGATGCAGCAGCAATGTGAGTCAATATCCTTCACGTCTACCTGCTTTACTTCATGAGCATTTTTTAACTGGTGTGTTGAGGACAAGTCTTACTGAAACATTTTTCCCTTTATCAGAATCTCAGAGCAGCTCATCAAGTTCATCAATATGATCGTGATGTGGATGACCTAAAAGGCTGGATGCAGGAGAAAGACGCAGTTGTGACCAGAGGTGATTATGGTTATGACCTACTTGGAGTTCAGACCCTCCTTAGCCAACATGAAGGAGTGGAGGTAAGCAGAAACAGTCACTTTGAAAAAACAGATTCTGTGTGTGTGTGTGCGTGTGTGTGTGTTTGTGTGCGTGTATTTTCAAAAGATCAAACGTTTCAGTCTGCAGAATTTCCAATGATGGGATTATTTGTTCACAGCCTTAAAGAAATGGGCTGCTCTCTTACTATAAGTCACTTACTCTTATTCTCTCTTGCTTATCTACTCAGAGTTAGCTTAGCCATTTATTTATTTATTTATTTATTTATTATTGTATTTCATATTGCTGCTTGTGAGAGATATTTGTTTTTTTAAGAAAATGATAAAATATTTGATTTTTGATTTTTTTAAGAAAATGATACAATCATTCTAAAATAGAACAAGAGTAAGGATAATAAACAACATAAGAAAAACAAAGTAAAACAGAGTGTAAATATATATTAACATGAAAATATCAAAAAGAGTTAGGACTTCAAGTCCCTGAGTGGGCAGTTTGCTTTGCCCTGACAGATTATCTCTTCCATCTTCAGTGAAAGTGCTGTTATCCTAAACAGTTTATTTTGGGATGAGTTAAAGAAACCAATTGGTAGATTTCCTCCTGGCAAGAAAAATATGTGTCTTTTGCTTTTCTAATGTAAGTAGGAGAGCAGATATGTATTGACCAAGCTTGCGTTGGGACTTTTACATTACCCAGAACCTCCTTCCTCTCTATTAGGCAATCCATGGATGCCATCTCACATCAGTTCTTTCACTGTTCTTTCTCTGTTCTGACTTCCTCTTTTTCTCAGATTGTTTCCTTCTTCACATTGTTTGAGATTGTATTAATGACAGGTGATTTAGATCCATCTCACTCTACCTAATAAAATGATATGAAGCCCTATGGCCATGATGGTGAACCTATGGCACGTAGCACACAAAGCCAGGTTACCCGGCATGTGCGGCCTTGCCTGTTTGTCTTCTGAGTTTCTGGTGCACTTACACACACAACAATCAGCTGTTCTTCGTGTGTGCAGCAGTGCTGAAAATCGGTGGGTGCATGCGCCCCGGCCAGCTGATTGTTGGGTGCGCATGCGTGCCAGAACCCAAACGCTTGGCTTTTCCAGAGCACAATCCCTTCATGCGTGCAGCAGTGCCGAAAACCAGCTTGTGCATGTGCATTGGCCAGCTGATTGTTGGGCATGCATGCATGCGTTCTGGAACCTGGAAGTTCAGCAGCCCTGACGAACGTGTGTGCGAGCGTGATGTTTCTGCGCAACCTTTTCGACACTCCATGCCAAAAAGGGTTGCCATCACTGCCCTATGGGAAAGAAGCAAAAAAGGGTGGCTTGAATATTCCAAGCTAGTTAGTTTTCCTTTGTGCATTTCAGAGGGAATTGGCAGCCATTGCAAAAGAGTTGGAAGGGGTAAGAGGAGAGGCCTGGCGCCTGGGCCGCCTCTACCCTCTGCCCAGGGAGAACATGATGAACAGACTTTCTGAAGTGGACGAGTGCTGGGAGAAACTAGACAAGAAGTGTGTGGAAAGAAAGCTGAAATTGCAGCAGGCTGAACAAGTCCAAATCTACTTCAATGACTGCAGAGAGTTGGTGTATGTATGAATTAGCCTGATAGATCTTCCTTTCGTAATATTAAAGGGGCGGGGGGTGCAGATGAAATCTTGATACAGCAAATTTTTAAAACATTTGGATACACATGTACTATACTTATACCTACTTTCAATGCTTTTGAATATAATACAGTGGAAACTGGATTTCACATTTTGAGTTATGCATCGATTATTTATTTGCCATGTACCCAATGTATCTCATCAGGTAATTAATCTACTTTTTAACTGCGGTTTTTGCAGAGCCTGGGCAAGGAAGATGCATTCCCTGATTGTTTCAGAGGAGGTAGCAAATGATCTTCTGGGAGCTGAATTGCTTATTAAATGCCACAAGGAATACAAGCTTGACATAGACAGACAATGGTTGGAATATGAAGATCTGGAGCAAATTGGATATAATCTGGTGAAGAAAGGACATTTTATGTGCCTGGAAGTAAGCTACTGATTAAAGAAAGCAATACATTGAAACAGCAATTATAGCATGTTGTGAAACTTTAGAGTATACAAACAATATGGTTAATCTGATTGCTTCTTGTTATTTTATATTTCTGCATTTTCACCATTGTTGTGAGAGGCTTAGAACTGCAAGATAATGTACTTTAAATGCTTTAAATGAATTGAAACAATGAATACACTTACTGGCATTAAAGCCCTTGAGTGAGTGAACTATGAACTGCCTTCTTGCAACCAAGTGTTTGCATCAGTAAATAGGATAGCATAAATTATTATTACTGCATACACCTTACACTACAGGAGGGCTATAGGAAAAGGAGCAAGATGAAGACAAACTTGTGATCAAATCTAGGGTTCTTCTTTCATCAAAACAGAAGAGATTGCCTGTTTGGTTTCTGTACTTAATTTACAAACATACCAAACTTCCCAGCTGGGTTCAGGAAGTAGCTGTGACCTACCCTGTTTTCCCAAAAATAAGACCTCCCTGAATAATAAGCCAAATCAGGCTTTTGAGCACATGCACTAAAATAAGCCCTCCCCCNATAAGCCATTCTGAAAGTGTCAGTGAAAATTGCCAGTGACTATTGGTGTACATTACAACCAAAAAATAGCAATACAGACAAAATAGTAATGGTAGTGTAGTAGTAGTAGTAGTAGTAGTAGTAGTAGTAGTAGTAGTAGTAGTAGTAGTAGTAGTAATAGTAGTAGTAGTGGGACTAAATAGTGAATCAGTGGAGCTGTTACCCAGTTGTGTGTTTTCTTACACCATTTGAGGGAGGACAGGCATGAAAATTCAACATTCATACTCCCTTGTGGTTTCCTAGTGGTATAGAAACTATGTGAGGCATTTGTAACAAACTGTCATACAGAGATGAAATCTTCCGTGCTCATATGCATATGTATTCAAGGAATGAATAATTCTACATGCAGAAGCCTAAATATCATTTGATAAAGTGGTCAGAAACTTGCAAATTTCATATACTAATGATATATTTTCAATAGAAAGCAGGAACAGTCTTTTGTGTGTCCTCCCACTGATTCCAAATGATTTTTTTCCAGAGAGAATTGAAGCTATTGAAACAAATGACTATAGAAGAAAATGAGCAAATGACCACATTGATCAAAGTCCCCTCACTAAGAAGGCGACATTCAGATAGAAGAAGCACAATGCCTGAACCAAAGAAAACTCAGCAATTACCACTTATGTCCTCAATTCCCAATTTAAGAGATCCCTTCAATGTCTCTCCTACCCAAAACTCCAAAGAGAGTTTGCATCAAATCAGTTCTGAAGAAGACTTGAGGTTGATCAATGATTCTCCTGAACCAAGAGTGAATGGCTTAGAAAATTCCATGCCAGAAACTGAGAATTCTTTGTGTCCTTCATTGACCTCAGACTTGAATAACCAGCAATCTGATGTTGGATTTTTGGAGTCACACCATAATGATTTTAATCCATCAGATGTGATAAACAGTTGTGAAACTTCTACCTCTGAGTTAGAAACTAGTGAAATGAAAACTCTGGATGGTAAAGGATCCCCTGATGACTGCCAAAGTCTTCTGCACTCAGATTTATCACCAGAAGGATCAGAAACTGCTCCCCAAGTAAGTTATTCCCTTTTGTGTTACCCTTTTGTTGACTGAACAATGACATCATTACTTATTTTTATATAAAATAATGTTGATTCATAAGAAACATTCCAAAATTCATAATCGGGTGATGTCTTTCTTCAGAACAGCCAAATGTATTGCCAATTGTGAGCAAAATTTTCCAGTCTCATTTTTTTTTCATTTTTATGGGTCAATGTCCTCCAGAATTATAGCACTGAAATTCAGCTGCAATCTAGTAATTAAGCAGAAATTCCTGCCAATTTTTAGCAGAAACCCCCTCAAAAAAAAAAAAAACAGGTAGATTGATACCTATCCCCACCCACACTGAAATTGAAGGGAAAATCACCCAAGGGAAAAATTCTGATCTTAACACCTCAATAATGTAATTTGGTAAGTATCATACTGTATATAGCCTTCAGCCATCAAAAATGGGTTGAGGGATAATGAAAATATTAGTCATTGCCATAAAAATATTGCTCTATATTAAGAGAAGAGAAAAAGACTCAAGCTGAAATAACCAGCTTAACTTTCTACAAGGTTATTTTAGAATTCCTTGTAGGCATTCTTAGAACTGCAAGTTTTAGGTTCACCTAGGACTGCACAGATAATGGTTGATCTCTCAATATTTAAAACCCAATATTTACTTATATTTGATTCAAATCTTAGACAACATAGATTGTTTCTTTGCCCTTTTGTGCCGCTTCCATTTTTCTGTGACTGCATGAGATTTTGCCACATATGGAAAACTTTCTTGGGATCACTAATTAATGCTGCATAAGTAGTTTCATTGGCTCTGATGATTGGCCTAAGGCAGTCTGTATACCTGTTGTCAGTACATATGATTTGCCCTACTATCTATCTTCCAGTGTAATGATAAAACATCCAGTCTGAATAAAAAATCATGCGGAAAAAAGACAAGATAGGAAATCAGATGCATTCAATTTACTGTATTTTACTTTGTAGTGGTCATGGGAAACTAATAGCCTGGGGTATCCTGTTTGCAGAATGTGGCTAGTTGTCTGAAATTTACTCATAGTAATTTTATATTTGCTGAATATTAAAGAANGTAGTAGTAGTAGTAGTAATAGTAGTAGTAGTGGGACTAAATAGTGAATCAGTGGAGCTGTTACCCAGTTGTGTGTTTTCTTACACCATTTGAGGGAGGACAGGCATGAAAATTCAACATTCATACTCCCTTGTGGTTTCCTAGTGGTATAGAAACTATGTGAGGCATTTGTAACAAACTGTCATACAGAGATGAAATCTTCCGTGCTCATATGCATATGTATTCAAGGAATGAATAATTCTACATGCAGAAGCCTAAATATCATTTGATAAAGTGGTCAGAAACTTGCAAATTTCATATACTAATGATATATTTTCAATAGAAAGCAGGAACAGTCTTTTGTGTGTCCTCCCACTGATTCCAAATGATTTTTTTCCAGAGAGAATTGAAGCTATTGAAACAAATGACTATAGAAGAAAATGAGCAAATGACCACATTGATCAAAGTCCCCTCACTAAGAAGGCGACATTCAGATAGAAGAAGCACAATGCCTGAACCAAAGAAAACTCAGCAATTACCACTTATGTCCTCAATTCCCAATTTAAGAGATCCCTTCAATGTCTCTCCTACCCAAAACTCCAAAGAGAGTTTGCATCAAATCAGTTCTGAAGAAGACTTGAGGTTGATCAATGATTCTCCTGAACCAAGAGTGAATGGCTTAGAAAATTCCATGCCAGAAACTGAGAATTCTTTGTGTCCTTCATTGACCTCAGACTTGAATAACCAGCAATCTGATGTTGGATTTTTGGAGTCACACCATAATGATTTTAATCCATCAGATGTGATAAACAGTTGTGAAACTTCTACCTCTGAGTTAGAAACTAGTGAAATGAAAACTCTGGATGGTAAAGGATCCCCTGATGACTGCCAAAGTCTTCTGCACTCAGATTTATCACCAGAAGGATCAGAAACTGCTCCCCAAGTAAGTTATTCCCTTTTGTGTTACCCTTTTGTTGACTGAACAATGACATCATTACTTATTTTTATATAAAATAATGTTGATTCATAAGAAACATTCCAAAATTCATAATCGGGTGATGTCTTTCTTCAGAACAGCCAAATGTATTGCCAATTGTGAGCAAAATTTTCCAGTCTCATTTTTTTTTCATTTTTATGGGTCAATGTCCTCCAGAATTATAGCACTGAAATTCAGCTGCAATCTAGTAATTAAGCAGAAATTCCTGCCAATTTTTAGCAGAAACCCCCTCAAAAAAAAAAAAAACAGGTAGATTGATACCTATCCCCACCCACACTGAAATTGAAGGGAAAATCACCCAAGGGAAAAATTCTGATCTTAACACCTCAATAATGTAATTTGGTAAGTATCATACTGTATATAGCCTTCAGCCATCAAAAATGGGTTGAGGGATAATGAAAATATTAGTCATTGCCATAAAAATATTGCTCTATATTAAGAGAAGAGAAAAAGACTCAAGCTGAAATAACCAGCTTAACTTTCTACAAGGTTATTTTAGAATTCCTTGTAGGCATTCTTAGAACTGCAAGTTTTAGGTTCACCTAGGACTGCACAGATAATGGTTGATCTCTCAATATTTAAAACCCAATATTTACTTATATTTGATTCAAATCTTAGACAACATAGATTGTTTCTTTGCCCTTTTGTGCCGCTTCCATTTTTCTGTGACTGCATGAGATTTTGCCACATATGGAAAACTTTCTTGGGATCACTAATTAATGCTGCATAAGTAGTTTCATTGGCTCTGATGATTGGCCTAAGGCAGTCTGTATACCTGTTGTCAGTACATATGATTTGCCCTACTATCTATCTTCCAGTGTAATGATAAAACATCCAGTCTGAATAAAAAATCATGCGGAAAAAAGACAAGATAGGAAATCAGATGCATTCAATTTACTGTATTTTACTTTGTAGTGGTCATGGGAAACTAATAGCCTGGGGTATCCTGTTTGCAGAATGTGGCTAGTTGTCTGAAATTTACTCATAGTAATTTTATATTTGCTGAATATTAAAGAAAACAGTTACTCCAAATTGCATATAAAAGACAATAATCCTCAAAAATCCACCAGAAGCATTCTAAAATCCTCATTTTTAAGCAACATTGTTTATTAGAATAACTGTACAAAATTGTGCACAGAGACATGTATATAGCATATGGGTGCAACTTTTCAAACCAAGGACATATTTTTCTTGCCAAGAAGTGTAGCTTCTTTAAGGAACTATAGATGTTGCTTGAGGCTCTGAAGGTTTTTTCCATTCAACTCCAATGCTGAACAGCATATTTATAAACATGGGCATGCCTGCACCAGACAGACAAACTCATGCATACAGTATATACACAAAGTCAAAAGATCAGGATAAATGAGACCAAAATCAACTTGTCATTGCAGTGTATGATAGAATAAGACAACAACTATCATTTATTTTTCATAACAGAAAGCACACTTCCTCTTTAAACACACAGTTCTTAATGCTAAAAAAGTCTGCCATGTCTTTTTCTTCTGATTTATGGCATCTTCTAACATCACCCGGCCATCAGTAAGGCAAAATATAACCTATCACCATTAGTCTCCCTTTGGCAGAAGAATGGTTAGACTAGTTGGATGATCCAATGAAAGTTTATAAATCATTAGTGAGAGCAGTAGCCCAGTCCGAGGCCTCTGGTGTGTCAGCTTGCTTCAGTAATTCAGTCTTCATTATTCAAATACATAAAGATTAATATTTCTAAGACTGGAGACTTAATTATCTACTGATTTTGTATTCCCTAAATAAAATCCTTACTTATTTCCTTCTTCTCCCACTCTACCTCTATCTAGATTGTGTGCATGGCATTTTTCTATCATATTATTGTAGAAATGAGTGAATGAATTCTTGTATTCAAGCTTTTACCATAACAGATTAAATTACATGTAAGAGTCTTATGCATTTCAGATTTCTGCAAATCAATACATTATGGCAGGTTTTCTAGAAAAAAGAGACCAGGTCTGTTCAAGAAGGAAAGAGGTAAATGTAAGTATAATGATGTGGATGAAAAGTTAAGATGTGGCATCCATGCCCCTTAGTATGGCTAACAAATTCATATGTTGTAAAAATAAATGTATGAACCATTTATTCAATCGATAGAAGACCCAAGTGCACTTACCACTTATGAGCAGATACTTATTTATGCTTATAAGTCTTTGATTTATACAAAATATAGTAGGTTAAAAATATGGCTGTATAAATGTATTCGAAATCTACACATATTTAAATAATATTTGCATTAGATGAATATATAGAATTGTAAATGTTTAATGTTATAATCTAATATGTACGGTACTAGAAATATGTTTGAATAATATTGCATTAGGCAAATATACATAAAATTGTAAATGTTTATTCTTATAATGAAATAAGTTATATTTTACCATAGGAATATATACATGTTTGAATAACATTGTGTGTGTGTGTGTGTGTGTGTGTGTGTGTGTAAATGTTTATTGTAGTGAAATATATCATTTTCTCCTTTGTTATATTTATTTCCCTTTTATGTGAAAGCGCTTTTATATGTTCTTTATTTTCTTCTCTGCGCTCCTTACCTGTCTTTAAAGTCTTCGGCACTTCTGCGCATGTGCATGGCATGTACAGTGCCTGTGCGACGCTCTGCTGAGCAGCTAGAGCATCGCGGAGGCTCGCGGAGGTGTCGCTGGCTGGTAAGACGCATGTGCGTGCTGCGCGCTGTGCACGTTCATGTGGAGGACGCCGGCCCCGTTGCAACCATACTGGTTGCAACAGGATCCAGAACCCACCACTGCAAGCTACTAATGGATGAATAATTTTAAATAATGATGAGATTCATGCATAGTATGGAAATAGTTGATTTTATTTTATATTATTTCAGCCAAAGGCAAGAGCTTGGAACACTTTTTATGTTCAACTTCAAAGACATAAACTTGACTTCTATAATGATGAGAAGGAAATAATTCAGGTACTTTATTTTATAATCATTTAAATCTTAAAATTCTATTGCATCTCACTGAAAATCCTCCTCCAGCCTTTTTTAGCTAGTGAAGACATGCAGTTTGATAAATGACTAGGTTTTCTAACATTTCTAATACCATCTACTGAAATTCCAGCAAAAATCAAAACTGCTGACCTGTATCATCAGCAATATCCTTCTTTAATATATTTCTGGATTAAATTTAAAATACATCTATAGATTGATTGATTGGTTGATTGTTATCATGATCCTTGGCAATTTTTATGGAACAATGCAGCAAACTATGATATTGTCATATTTTTTAGAACAATGATTTGGAAAGTTACATTTTGAGAAAAATATTTAGGCTATAAAGTTTACATGACATATTTCAGACAGCACTGTTATTTCCTTAAATAATTCACCTAGTAACAAGATCCCCTACAATGAATAGACATTATCTTGCCAATATACATCACAAATGTTGTTAGATTATAATGGACAGGCCCTGCCTACAAAATGCCTATTTCCCACTACCCATTTTTATTTGAGAAGCATTGATAGCATTTTACAGTTTGAAAATCACTGCTCTAAAGGATATGGAATCAAAAACATGGGTTAGAAAGTCTCTGCTTATGTCTTGTCTTTCTCCTTTTTTAGAAAATACCTCCAGATTTATCACTGAGCATAGCTGGAGCCAGGTGTGAGAGGCTAACAAACTATCCCAGGAAAAAATATGCTTTCAGCTTAAGGTAAAATGTATCCCTGTTAATTAGAATCAAATGCAGTTCTGTCATTTGGGTAAGCTAAATACTGCTTAGCTTAGAATGATTTTGTAGAATTAGATGCTGCCATTCTTGCACCATAAGAATTAAAGTGCAAATAAAAGTACCCACAGAATGTGAACAATGTCACATGTCAAGATCAGAGGAGTTTTAAAAAATCATTCAAGGGCAAAAGGACTTTCATCGGTTTACAAAGGTTGAGCTACCATCATTAATGATCCTGAAGTATAAATTCTTCTATCAGTTCTGTTCACTAGACTAGAACTCAACTGAACCATTACTGCATTTAACAAAATGGAGAGAGTCTTGGGTCTGAAATAAGTTATCAATTTCATTTAGGGATTACAGTACAGAATTTATCTGAAATCAGTGCATGAGAAGATTTCTTGGGCTTTGCTGAAATACAAAAATTACCACTTGTGTTTATTTTGTGTAAGAAAAAGAATGGGACTTTGGGTGGCTTTGTTTCTTTATATATTATCTTGTGAAGATATATCAATTAATATATCGAATAAATCAATTAATTCCATCTTCAATACATGGTTTACAGAACAAGTGGAGGAGAAGAATACTACCTTGCAGCATTGTCTCAGAAGTTAATGGAGGATTGGATGTATGCATTATGGAGTAACTTAGGTAAATTGATGAGATCTAAGGAGTCAGGAGTATCTCAGCTTGCCCAGGGAATCCTTACGAAAGAAGAACAGGGACAGAATATTGGGCAAAAAAATGCTAAATTTTCAGATTCTTCATAACCATGTTTTTGTGTTTTATTCCTTTGATTTCTTATATGGATTCCTGAAGATTATAACAGCAATCAGAAGGAAATTTCAATCAATGAAAATGTGGTGAAACCTCAGATAAAACCTTGGATTTCGGCAGCTGGAACTTCTACTCAGAAACAGACTAGCAAAAGTTTCCTTCTGAGGTAGGCATGGGTTTCTGTTCATCTGATTATATTCAATTCAATATATTCATTGCTAATTATTGCTAGTTTTTTCAAAGTGCTCAACAATATTAGAATACCAAGCATCATAGAGAGTCTTTGAGAACAGTATTTATGTTTACAGCCCTAAATGAATACAAATTTTTCCATCTAGTTCTTCTTTGTTGAATAGACAAAGTAAAGGTTTCAGTTTAAGAAAGGAATAAACAAGAAAAGACGAAAAGCTGCATATTTTTATTTCTTTATGGTTTTGCTAAGTGGTTGAGCACATTTTTATTTCTTGATGATAGCTATCATGAAAATATTTATAGCTAAAGATAAAATAAATAATACTGTATTTATGTATTTTAAATGTAAACCCTTCTCTACAGATTCAGGAAAGAAAAACTAAATGCTGCCCAGACTTGCATTTGTGAGATGGGTGGCCATATCAATCAATTTTATTTAATGAATTAATTATCTTAATCTTGCTTGGTAACAGGAGAACTCCTTCCTTCAAAGCTAATCGAGAAAAAAGGCTTGCTGCAAGTTCTGCAGAAACATTGACACAAAATTACAAAACTCCTGCTCCAAATTCAGAAGATCCTGGTAATAGCACATCACTTTTTTTCTTTTCTTAAGATATATTTCATAAAATAATACAGAATGTCATATAGAGGTGCTCAAAGTTTCATATAAAACCGAAACAACATCATGCTATGTTTAGTTTTTTTTTTTAATTACTACAATCATTTGATGGCAATTCGGTTATCTTTTGTCACTGATTATTATAACATAGAGGGCATTTATATCAGTTTAGAATGGAAGCTCATAATTTTCTCTGTCGTGCATGCATAGTTTTGAGTTTGAGATCAGAACAGGTCATTTATGGATTGCTTAAAAGGTTAAAAAAATTGGCTTCTTATTTTTCATTCCCATAATTTGCCCTATTATAAAATATTTAATGAAAATGAGGAGTGATAGATGTTAATCCATTATGGGATTTAGCTATGCAGTACATGTGATAGTAAAAGAAATAGTCAAATTTTATCAATTAATTAATCAATGAGCCATGGTGGTGCAGTGATTAGAGTGCAGTACTGCAGGCTACTTCTGCTGACTGCCGGCTGCCTGCAATTTGGCAGAATGAATCTCACCAGGCTGAAGGTTGACTCAGCTTTCCATCCTTCCGTGGTCAGTAAAATGAGGACCTAGATTGTTGGGGGCAATATGTTGACTCTGGAAACTGCTTAGATAGGGCTGCAAAGCACTGTGAAGCAGTATATAAGTTTATTTATTTATTTGTTTATTTATTAATAATATTTATAGGCCGCCCAATCCCGAAGTGCTATTGCTATTGTTATTAAAACTATAACATACTCTAGATCAGGCTATCATAACTAGTGTTCAATCATGTAAATGCAAGTCAGACCAGCTGTATGGCTGGCTAAATGTTTGATGATCATCTTAATTTTGCATTTTCAAATAACAGCAAAATGATGATAGGATAGTAGAACAGTTCTTTAGGCTTCATTTACCTTGCTTTCGTGGCAACAGCATTATTTAATTCAAATACTTCATTCTTGGTTTGTAACTTTAAGAGAACAGTACAAATTCAGAAACATTTCTGCTCACTAGGGTTTTTATGCTGCCCAGAGTCACCTTATAGGGGAGGTGAGCGCATTAAAATGTAATAAATAAATGAAAACAGCAGACCTATAAATTGACAATTTTGAGCTAGATAAAGTGCTTACACTTGATATAAAGCAGTTTCTTTAAAGTTGTTTAGAAAAAGTGAATATACTGGTTTTCTTTTTTTCCTTTTTTCTTTCTTTCTTTTCTTTCTTTCTTTCCATTTATATAGCTGCCCATCTTAAAAATAACTTTGGGTAGCTTACAATAAATTAAGGGTTACAATCCATTGATGCAAAATATATTATTTATCACTGAGCTACAGACATGTCACTCAGCAGGAAAGTCATGAATGGGTAGAATTCAATTGGCAGCAGTTTTTAATTGAATGGTTTGCCATACAGGTGTTGTAAAATATCTCTTTTATTTTTTTTATACAATTTCTATTGTCTTCTGTTTCTATACAGTCTTTCTCATTCAATGCTAATCATTTTTTTTTCAGGCAGCAGAACTGAGCCCATGATGAACACCACAAAGTGTGTAGACAATCTTGATGCTGCAAAGAGATCTAGAATAGAGACAGATCTCAAGAAACAGAAGGGGATCTTTAAATATCTTTTCAGGAAGAAATAGAAGCAATACAGTTTGCTGGAATTTCCTAAAGATGCTAGGTTCTTCAGTTCTTTTCATCCTATTGTCTTTATGATTAATTTAAGAGGTACAACTGAAAGAGAAATCTGCACACTATCTATTGAACAGGCATCCTACAAAATGTACATTTATATCTCTCCAATATTTCTGCCAAAAATTATAAACAATTATTACTTAAATTGTCTAGCATCAGTAATTTATAATTGCATGTATTTGAAAGCCATGAAAGTTTGGTGTTAATATTGGACAACCATGAGTATATCAATGCTATCATCATCATCATTATTTAGCATGAACATGAGGAGAGAAAGATTTATCCTGTTGTCCTATTTTACCCATTAAAGATATGAAGTGGTCTAGGGGTGGCTTCCAGCAGTCACTACTGCCGGTCCGCTCATAGACGCGCCACCTGCGTGGGCACTTAATGCATGCTGCATGCGCAGAGCAATAAAAATTGCTCTGCACATGCGCAGAAGCAAAAAAGAAGATGGCAGCACCTATCGCGCCATTGGGAGAACTGGTTTGGGGGCGTGGTAGGCCTGGGTGGCTGCCAGTTCAGCGGCCCAGGCCACCAAGCTGCTACCAATTCAGCCGAATCGGTCTGAATCAGTAAGAACCACCACTGAAGTGGTCTCCCTGAACACAAGAACTTCTGGGTCACATATTAGCCATATCACCCTCCTTAACGTCCACAGAAGAGGAAAAAGTGAGAAGTAGGATTTCCATTTAATGAAAAACCTTGGTTGTATGAAGGAAAAAAACTGCACTGCAGATATCTCTCAGCAAATACTTTCTCTATGTAGAAATGAGGACTAGAGAAGTGTCATAACTTTTCCAGGCCAGCTTCTAGCATTGGATATATCCAATCATCATTAGGTAAAGTTAATTAAATCTATAGCAAGTAATAAAACCAATTCTGCCTCTCATTTTGTCTATACTTTAAAAAACAATATTTTGAAAATTGAAGTCAGTCACACACTAACACAGGGCTGTCAAACTCCCAGTCTGTGGGCCAGACACATCATACACTGGCCATGCCCACGCCCAGTTCAGTGAAGAGGGGGAAACTCCCAAAAAGTCACGTGACGTCACTGTGACAACATGAGTTTTGACACCTCTACACTAGTACAAGAAATAAATTAGTATATATTCTCAAAGTTTGAAAATTGTTTTCTAAAGAAAAATTATAGTATAGAAACCAGATTTTATTCAGGTCTTTTCTTAAATTAATAAACATGCTTCTACATTTCTCATATAAATCCAGTAACACACAAGTTTAAAGTATTTGTTTTATTATGAAATAGTGTATGTAGCACTGTATACTGCTACATACATTTTTAGGGGTTTTTTTCTACAGTAATAGGGAAGAGAAGTCTCAGGTGAGGAGAATTTTTGAAGAATAGTAGCTTTTTCTCAGATTAATCTCAAAAGATTTATGTTTTTCATTCTTTTTTAAGTTTTTTTATTTTTAATTTTCAAAACAAACACAACACATAAAATCTTCCTTTTTTACATACTGTGGAAAGTGTATCAGTTGGTTACAAAAGACTTTTGTGCATCTCTCCCACAGTCATCAAGCATAATTCATATTAACGCAAGTATTTTAACTCAGATATTTATACATGTTACCATCATCCCTCCATTTTCATTTGAATATAGTTGTTTAAATGTCCTTCATCATAAAATATAACAATATTTAATACATAACCACATACTGGCATTTCATTTACTATGTCTAAAACCCTCCAATGACACTAAATCCACATTCTAGCTAAACATCCATAATATTTAATAACAAAGTTTTCTATCCTTCTTTCCAAATCACTGTTTACAATTTACATCATTTCCTTATGTTATGTACACACACACACACACACACACACACACACACACACACACACACACACACACACACACACACACACA